GTGAACCTGGAGCTCATGCACTCAGGTAGGGGGCAGGGGTGAGCCGACAGGTGTGCCTGCGCGGGGAGGTCCGAGGGCACCTTCTGGGTCTCCCTCCCCGTGGCCAGAAGAGAAGGGGTGGTGTGCTAGTTTGGGGGGGTAGACGTTGGGGGACCTTGGGAAAGCATGCAGGTGGGGCTACGGGGTTGGGGGCGGGGGCTCCCGAAGCCTCCCTCCTGATGTGGGTGTGTGAACTCTGTGGCCCCTGGATCGCCTGTCCACTAACTGCAGGCGTGGCTCACTCGGCCACAGGGGTGTGGACTGGGAGGTGTCAGTGAGGAACGTACTAGTACCCACATGTTACATGTGTGGTGTCCTGGGCATTTATGTGAAGTGGAGGCAAAGTGGGCATCAATGTGGTCTGGGGGGGGGGCAGTCACAGAGGCACCCCTGGCAGATGCCAGGCCCCCAGCTGTGAATAGGGTTGCGGCCACAGGTGTCCCCAGGTGAGCTGGGAGGTGGTGAAGGTGGGCCCGCTGGATGCCTGTGGGCCTTGGCAATGCTGTGGGCTCGGGTGTGGAGGCAATGGCGTCTGGCAGGGCTGGGCGGGGCCCGTGGCAGAGGCACTTCCACTCCGAGCCCCCCCCCCCCATCAGACACGAGCCCCCCTGTCTCGGGCGGGGCCCAGCTGATAGAGTGTGTTCCCAGGAGTCAGTGTCTCCCGCAGGAGTGGAGTGTGGGCCTGGGGTGAGCCAAGGCCCCTCCATCACCCTGCTGACCCTCCTTCCCCAGCTGGGGTAGGGCAGGAGGTACTGCCCCTGAGGGTGGGCCTTCTGGGAGTCTGAGGATCCGAGCAAAGAAAATGAGGAAGCAGAGCCCCTTTGGCCATTTCCAACCAGCAGCTGACTCGCCAAGGCCGTTCCTGAGGATGCAGCCGGCAGAGTTGTGACCTGCTCTCCTTCCTGGAGGAGCAGAGCGTGAGGAAGCCCACCCCAGCGAGCAGAGCAGGCTGCAGGCGCCGGCCTGTCCCGTC